AAAGTGCCCCGGCGCGGGGCCTCGATGAGCTTAATACGAGATTTATTCCCGCGTATCCAGGCAGCCGCGCGGAATGAAATGTGGCTGCGTTTTCAGCGTATCGCATTACGGCGCGGCACTTGGACATTTTTACCCGGTCCCGCCGTGCGTTTCGCGTCGTTGAAATTGGTTGGACTCGCGCGCAGCTCGCGCGGGGACCGCGTAGGAAGAACCGGTAGGAGCGGTGTAATTATGCGAACGGCAGTTTCTTTCCCCGATACCTCGCGGTTTTATCAGTGATCGTTTCGATAACAGTGCGGCCGGAAATTGCAGCAGCGGGTCGTAAGACTCGCGGGGAAAATTAATCAATGGCAAAAGCGAGAGAATCCCGCGCGTCGCCGCGCGTAATATCGCGTCTCTCGAACTCGGCGAATAAGGAAGGCGCGCGCGATCGTCGAATCATTCGGCTCATGAATCTTTATTGAAACGACCGTGCTATCTGGCCGATCCATTTCCAGGCTAATTTATCGGAGGTTCCGTCATGAAAATCTCAGCCGTCGTTTGCGTCGGACATCCCGCGCGTATATTTATAATACCGCTTCTTATCAGCATGCCGAAGCTTCGGAAAACACTCTCGGCGCTTCGAGTCTCGCTCGTGCCGAGCAAAAACTCGCGAGGAAGCGGCGCGTTTCGTTCCTCGCGAGAGGAAACCGCGTTTCAGCTGGAGACGAGCGTCTTCGAAGAAACGGTCGACGCGAGTACGAGAGGGAGAGAGAGAGAGAGGAAGAGAGAAAGGCATAGAGAAGAAGCGAATGGATTTGCTCGCCCTTTGCCGCCCGTGTAGAAAAAGGGTCGGCTCCGGCCGGAGACCTTGGAGTCGGAAGAGGAATGCAAATCGAGACCGGTCACGAATATTCTAATGTGCAGTTAGTCCTTACACGACGATTGCGAGAGAATCGTCATTCGGTCTCTCCCATCGGGCGCAATGGCCCACGATTGCACCCGGGGCGCGTGTTTGCGCGTCCGGAACGTTCACGACTCTCGATTAGATGCTTCGCGTGCCTCCGAATCAGCCGGAACGCTGGAAATGACGATGTCGAATCTCGTTACGACCGGCGTGTTCGCGACGTATTTTTAGCCTCGCAAATGGGCAAACAGGTTGCCGTCCTATTCCAATTAACGCTCGCAATCACCACTCGATGTTGCGCTGATTAGGCTAGACGCAACGGAGAACGACCGGCCGAAGAGAATCGTTACAGACCGTTCAACTTCCCCGCGGAACATGTTATTTTCCTCGCGTATCTGCCTCTTTTTCTATCATCAAATTCGCGGTTTTTGCTTTAAACACTTTGCTGGCTATTCTTGCGCCGCACAATTTAACATACCCTAGTAGCACAGTGCATTGGCTAAACGTTGGTCCAATGTTGGTTATATTAGAAATGCATTGGCCGATATTGTCCAACGTAAAGCCAACATTGGCCATGGAATAAATGTAAATATTGCACGATAATAATTATATAATATTAAATTTATATTGAAAGTGCATTGGCCAATATTTAACAAAGTAATAAGAATGTTGCTTTGTAGACATATTGGCTGAATAAAAGAAGGCGTCCATCTTACAATGTCCGACCAATATTGGGAATGGTAAATTTACATTATTTCTCAATATTGCGCCAATATATCGTGCTGCTAGGGTAGCATGTCCAAGTTCGCAGAGCAGTACGCAATAAAAAAATAAGTGTCGCAACGATTCTGTCCATCGCTGTACAACGCGCCAGGGTATCTACGTGCATTGCGCACTTTTGCGTGCGTAACGATGCCGGCGACGCGTTACGAAACGACAAGATCGCTCTCGTGAGAGCGCGAGATTTAGAGACGTGGAAACGAAGTCGAGATGGGAAAAACGTCCGCCACGGCACGGCCGCACGATCAAACCCCGGGATAACCCTGGAGAAAATGCTGCTAGGCCGCAGAAAAGGGGACGGAGATAGATGCGAGCGGACATGATGGTAGTAAAGTTCACGGAAGAAATACGCGATACGTAGAAGAAGGGCCCTAGGAAAGCGCGAGTTCCCAAGGAGAGGATTTCGCTTTACGATCGCAAGAACGGACGGGCCGCGAGTCCTCGTTTCCGCTCGTCTCTTCTTCGATTTTGTTCCGTCGGTTATTCCGAGAATTCCCGCGCGATCCAATATCTTACGGCTGCTTTTTTTTGCGCGCGCGCGGCCGTTCTTGCCTCGCGCCATTTTTCTACGGCTAGATTTATGCCCCGTTTACGGGGAGGTCGTAACGCGAGTGGACTCAAATGGACGGAAGGGCGGAATTAGCGCAAGTCTAATGGCTATCAATTATCATACTTCGGAGAATCACGAGATTGACGTTCGTACGAACAACTCGCGTGTGATCGCTCGAGGTGTATGAAATACCGACGGACAATTAAATTTCCAATCGAATTGGACGGACTGGACAGGTCTCGGTTGCGCGAGGAGACTCAAGTGTTTGATCATTTTTTTAAATACCCGCGGTATCACGTAACGCACGAGCGGTATCCTTTGAGCGTTTGACACGGAGCAGGTCCGAGACGAGTGGTCGGTTACGTGTAATTTGTACAGGATCTCTTCTCCGCAGAGGTGAGAGAAGTTCGCAGTCAAGGCTCCCTCCTCGAAGTCATTGACATTGGCGGCCGACACGGAGAAGAGACTGATGCTGCCCATTATATATCGAACGGTTAATAAAACAGCGACACTCTCGTTGTACAGCCATTCGATCATCGTTTTCTGCAAACACGTGACTCACCGCCGCGGATTATTCTTTTTACATTCGACTCGCGTTGTCTCTATGAATTTTCAAAAAGATCTTCAACGTTCGGAAATTGCCAAGTGATTACCAAGCAATTGTGCCGTAGAAATTTAAATATACATTATCGTCCGTATGTACACCATTAAATTCGTCGTGTTAAATTTGACTCGACGACGAGTCGCCGCTGCTCAACATGTCGTTTTTAACTATCCGTGTCTGCCCAGGGTATTATTTTAAAACACAAAACTTATATAGCTAAAAAAACAACTGCTACAGCTATTCAACCCATCTCTGTAGTTTCTTTTAACTCCCCACCCCTGGAAAAACTTGCCTTAGAAAACCTTAAAATTTTACCCTAGAAAAGTAAGAAATATGAAAAGTAAAGGACACTTTAAACTTTTATTTCAGGTAAGCTTAAAACTTACTTTAAGAATTTAAAAGAAAACTTTAGGAATTGTGAAAAGTATGTGAGATTATAATTTATAATACCGCGTGCGGGGTTTTCTTCTTACGAGAAAGTGCTATGCCGCGCGGCCCTCTGGCAAGAACTTGGACAGGCTTGGCTATCTAAAAATGACTTCAAGCGTCCAAACTTACTCTAAAATTTCTCAAGTAAGCTTTCAACTTCTCCGAGTGAACCCTTAGATTCAAAAGGCCACTTTTAAAAACTTGAATTTCACTTAAAGTAAATTTTCCCAAGGGCATTTAACAGCGTAGTGTTTGCAGCGGGCCGGCTTGTCCCTCGTAATCTCGTGTCAGGTGAGAGGTCTGATATCAGGTTTGCCGAGTTTAAATTTGGGAAAGGCGAGCGTCCCGCGCTCAGATCTTATCTCGAGCCCTCGAGACGGAACGGGGGACCCCGGCTCGCGGATGCTCTCGCCCGTCAGATGTTGAATGTTCTTAATGGCGTTACCTGACGAAGCGTTGCACCTCTCCGCGCGTGATTTCGTTTCGGTGCGCGTACTGAAACGCGCGCGGCGCGACCGCTTTTTTGGCGTTGCATGCGCATGATGAGATCTATTATCTCGAATGACTGTCCTCTTTCGCTGTCGGCTTCTGCGAACATGGCGCGCCGGTGAACGTCCTCTCTCTCTCTCTCTCTCTTTCTCTCTCTCGGCGGGTGTACGCTCCATCGAGCGTACACCATCAGCGTTACGGACGGCAGTCGTCACTTCTCTCGCCATGTGCTCTCGCGTTGAAATCGCGTTAGACATGAATAAACAAGCTTTGCGCCGCCATTAACGGCGGGACCAGAGATATTCGCTGGAAAATTGGCGAATCGCGATCCCTCGACGTCCTTTCGCGGCGAGCTATACTCGCTCGAAAATACAGCTAGCTGTTTGATATTCGACGTAGATCGAGATATTAGCGCGGGACGACGGACATGTCGCCGAGCGACGTCAAGACGACAGCCGTGATTCCAGTGACGGTCTTGGCCGGTCGTCACCTGCCGTGCCCCGGCTATTAGCTATGCGCGACACGACGGCGTCACTTCCTCCGGCTCGGTTTCCGGCCGCCGGAAACGTCCTTCCGCGGCTGAATCCTTAAATGAAAACGATCTCTCGCGGGGCCCGCTCCCGCCTCTGGGCAGATCCGCGAGGATATATCGAGACGAGTCGTCGGGTTGCGCCGTTGCGTAATCCATCACGATCGCCGCGTGTATGCACGCGCGCCGGACAGGCACGCGGACACATTTGAAGGGAATTCTTCTGGCGAACCTCGGGAGATTACCGGGCGTATTTTATGTCGCGAATCTGAGCGAGCGTCTTAGGGAATTGGTTAATAAATAACGCACGCAGAGATTACCTCTCTCGGCGAGACGCATAAATATTTCCAATATTCTCGCGCAACGCGAACGCTACGAGACGTTAAAATTACCTCATTACGGAGTCGCCCGGACCCCCGTGCGCTCCCCCCCGTCCGCGGAATATGAAAACGGAGCCGTAAAAACGAGCGGGAATTATATGTCACATCGCGGAAAGGGCTCTCGGAATGTCCAGTCCCGCGGGACGTGACGCGTTTACGATTGCGCGCGCGGGCGACGGCGAGCGCCAATTTTTACCAATTTCAACGTTTTAACGACGCTCTTGGATCGCAACGCGACCCGCGATGCGTCCGGCTAGAACCGGTGTCCGGTTTCTTCTACGCGAGAGGCCGATTCCTCTCCCTCGTTGCCGTCTGTTTTTCAATTCTGTACGACGTGCTCTCGTTGCCGGCAGCAATCGGTACGGCCTGACGAACGAGGACCTGAACCGACGCTGGAGCAGCCCCAATCGGACCTATCATCCGGTCATCTATCACACCAAGGGCCTGATGGAGTATTGCGCCAGGGTGCTGCAGAGACCGCCCCACGTTTTCGTCGACTACCACGGCCACTCGCGGAGGAAGAACGTGTTTCTGTTCGGCTGTTCAAGGTCGGGTTCCTGGAGCGCCGCGGACAGGGCGAAACCGGACCAGCCGGTGCAGTATTTGGTAAGGGAATCGCGGGGCTAGGTAATATTTTTAGATCCTTAGATCGCGGCATCATTTATCCTTCACGTTTACCTGCCATCGGCCCGGCCCGGCGGACGTTTATCACTTTCAGCGGCCGTCCTTTCAACGCGAACTTTCGATTTGCACGAGCAATTACTCCGCCGACAGCCGCCTATTCGTTTCGCGCGTCGCCTCGGCACGTTAACGTCATTAGTCAGAGCGTTACCGAGAAAGTGCCCTGAGAAAGTGTCTCTCTCTCACTCCAACCCACGGGACCTTGATCCTCGCTCTCGAAGCCTCTAAGCGATCTCTCGTAATCTTTGCGATTCTCTTTCTGTATCAGATGTTACCGCATCTCATGCAGAGGACCTCGCCGGCTTTCGCTTTGCAGCTCTGCTCCTTCAAGGTCGAGAGAAACAAGGAATCCACCGCCAGAGTCGCTGTGTGGCGGCAGTTGGGCGTTTCGAGGTAAACGACGGCTATATCCTGGGCAGATCGAGATCAGCCTCGCAATAAGATCTCGTGTAGCAAGGTCGAGGTTACGCGTGTGTATCGCCAAAGAGATCCGATTCTTTTGCAACTTTAATCACATTTCAATACCGAGATTCACTCGAAACGTTTCCCCTTTGCAATTAGTCAATTACCCCCTCGTAGCACAATATATTGGCGCAATGTTGGGAAAATAATGTAAATCTAGCATTTCCAATGGTGTAAGCTAGATGCCTTCTCTTATTCGGCCAATATGTCTATTCGGCAATGTTGGTCTAATATTCCTATTACATTGTTAAATATTGGCCAATGCACTTCCGATATAAATTTAATAGTACATAATTATTATCGTGCAATATTTACATTGATTCCATGGCCAATATTGGCTGTACGTTGGACAATATCGGCCAATGCATTTCTAATATAACCAACATTAGACTGTGCTAGGGACATCACTGTAATTGAACGCATCAATGCTTAATGTTTCATTAAAACAGAAGTTATACCATGGAAAGCAGTTTTTGTGGATGCGACCAGGGCGTACTGGCAGGATTACATTTCGACACAGAGCATCTCAAAGCCATTGGGAGAGACTTTTGTCAAGCCCTATCTATGATGAAGGACGGCGGAGACGACTGGGCCATCGGAAAGTACGTGCAAATGTATCGCTGTCAATTCGTTCTTCGCACAAGTATAACTCGACTCGAATTCGTTGAGATACGACTGGTTGAAATAGAATCTCTGTTAAATGTGAACCTGTAAAATATCAAGATGTGTCTCCACGAGCTAATCGGCGAGTCATCTTCTGAGCTCATGATTTTCGATGAGACCATTTACTAACAATAAGTTTTAAATCTCTGCGGGCTGGAATGGTGGAAAAGATTCTATAGCTTGATGTGTTATTCGACATAGATCAACAGAGCAAGCCTGTTGCCCGAGAATGTGTGTCTTACGAATGTCACGGAAGATACCGAAATGTATTCAAGATAAACACGCTATACATCATACCACGGCACTTTCCTAGCAAACGAGATAATTAAACAATTGTATTTTGAAGGCAAGATTTGTACGTGACCGTCTGTGTGCGCGTGATTGACAATTTAACACGCTTTCGCTAAATTGTTTTACGTCATTAATGCATGTTGCCCTTTTAATCCCATTATCGATCAAACCAACATGTTTCTGTAAACTGACGATAACAGCTAGTAAGTGAAAAAAAGCTGTCGTTTGATTTATAGACATCCATTACTCTTCAAGCTAATCAACAGTTTGTTTATTTAGCTTATCATTCAATATGTTCCTTGTTAATCGTGCCTGTTTTACTCCTTTTAGAAATCCCGTGGGAAAACACATTTCCATGGAATCAGGATGCATGGGCAACGATGTATCTTCCAGTAGTGAATCCAATGATTCCGATTTCGAGACTTAGGGGAGACTGCACCTTAGTCAAGTGTTTTGACAAGAAAATTCATTACGAACATTTATCTTTCTGCACTTTCAAATTTAAAATTCAACACAAAAACTATTTCCATTCTGAATAAAATAGTATAAAGTATAGTACAAAGCGATACTTCGCGACGAGAAATATTTCAAACAACATTTATTTAAAACTGGTAACAAACATTTAAAGCTATTCTCTCTATGAAAATACTATCTACATATCGTTAAGTATTTGTACGTATCTTGGAAATTAATACTTTGCAAATTAAGTTCCATGGTAAAAGTGACAATGTTCGCTGTAGATTCAATGGAGCACTAACTTAAGTTAGTATGGCCGTGTATAATTATTTAGCTCGGAAATGAAATTCGTGAAAGTCAAAAATGTATCACAATATTACCATCTAAAGTGATAAAGCGATGATATCTAGGAAACTTTACATTTTTTAGGAAATTTGAATCATCTTTAAAAGAAAGTAGGTTCAGATAATACCAAAAGTAAGGGAGCTGTGTCATTCCCTAATAAGGTACCTCGCTCTGTACTTTGTACACATAACGTACGATTATATAAATATAGGAAATAAATGTTAATGAAATTCATGAGTTGTGATTCCCTCCAAGTTTATGAGACCCTGCCCTAAGACTTTCTGAAACGATTATTTGCGTTCCATTTTGGTTACATTTAATTTCGACAAGATCTTTACTTGCTCTCTAAAAGCCAATCAGTAGATTATCATAGAAAACAGTGAATACTCACTGATTCACAGTTATTAGTGACTGTTCACTGTTTTCAGTGATAATTCCAGGGTTGGGAACGTTACTTTATAAAAATATCTAGTTACAGTTACAGTTTCTTCGTTAAATATGCAACTGGCTACAGTTACATCTATAGAGGTTTAAAATATATAATATATATAAAGTAACGAAGTTAAGTTAGAGTTGCCAAAAGAAGTAACTGTAACTATAACTTCGTTACTAGTAACGAGTTACTCCTAAGCCTGGATAATTCACTGATTGACTTTTAGAGAGTTCGTATCGACGTAACGCTAATCGTAAGTTTTGTAATTTCAGAGTAGTACGTGCCATATAATAATCCGCACGACAGTCAATGAAAGAATTTACCCTAATGTATGGAATTCGTAATAAATATCAGAATAAATGATTATCAATGTTAACAATGCAATTTTGTAACAATTAAATATGAACACGAAACATCCCAACGCGCACAATACATTAATATCAGTGTCGAAATTCTGAAAGCAGACCAAGTATTTTACATCCGACATTCTCGTATTGCAGAATTTATGGTAATATTGCTCGCTTTTATCACGGTCGTGTTTCTTCATTGTTCAAAGCCATTTTTACTGAAAAAAGATATCTCGAAGAAACACCTTGTATCCAATTGTACGTAGTCAGTCATCTAACATACTATATACGTATAGTTGTCATCGAAATTTAATGATGCATAGCGCGTGTATATCTCAAATAGTACTGTCATCCTATAAAAGTTGGCAATTGTATTTCATTATAAATAACAAATATGTCTACAACACGTAAACTTTTAAAATGGAGGATTTTCAACGCTGCTCCTTGCAGACTAAATTATTCGTAACGATAATGTGATTTAAAAAATTCGTTGATTGAATTACGATATAAATTGCACCCTGTAAAATGTCAATTGACTGAATCGAGATTATGTTGTACATGTTAAAAATTGCGCGTTGTGTTCACGAATGAGTTAATTAGAGCGACGCTAAAAGTAGAATTTGTTAGTTTCTGATCACAGTTTTTTTTATGAGACTCTATCTAGATTTAAGCAAAGACATCGGAATGAACTTTCGTAACATAATTATTGTCTATTTGACGCGTTAATGATCTGTAATCATCGTATAATCCACCCTGCCGAGAAATAGCCTAACGACTTCTTATAAAACTGATGCAATCCAAATTTTTATTTTGTATAAATTATCAAGAAATCTTCCCTGCGTCTATCAGTGTGAATGCGTATGTGCATATTTAAATGGAAACTAGAGCGAACCGAATGAGATTGTAGCCCTACTCGTATCATATCATATTAATTACTATTTCCAACGGTGCAAAGAATTTTGTTAATCAACGAACCTGTCGTTAAATAATTGGATGATAAAGACTGATATGCGCACACTTGCATTTAAGAAAGCGATGAAAAAAGAAGCAGTAATACGAGGACATTTATCATCGACGGTTGAGATTGCGTCTTGTGGAATATGAAGCTTCCAATTTACCTACGTTCAATTCGCACGGTTTATCTAAACAAACGTTAATCTTCTACGGAGGTGAATTTCGATACGGTAACGCAGAAGATTACAATGGATTATCTACCGATCTTCGGCAGAATAATCGGACTCGGTAATCGAGGATCTCATTCGATGCCATGTAGCTTCTTCACCTGCAACTTGATCTGCTCGTAGGTCACCCACAATACGATGTTCCAAGATACCAGGCGCGCGAAACTCGGTACAAAGCCCTTGTAGAACGCGCTAGGGCCTTCCTGGGCGAAAGTCTTGATGGTGCAGTCTATCGCGCCCTTGTACTCGCCGGGGGTGCTGTTCATGTAACGCGTCTTTATGACGTCCACGGGACTCGCTGCCAGAGTGGTGCAGAGTCCTGCGGCCGTCGCGGCGGTCAAGTGACACGGTATCCCGTCGCGAAGATAACCGCTGGCCAGGATGAGATCCTTGATAATATCGTAACAGACTACCTCCGCCACGTTCACGATGGCGTTTCGCGCGATGTTCGGCAAAGTTCCTGAGTGCAAAGAGCGAATTACTCTTCACCATATTTAGAAATGTCTTAATTCGTCTTATTGTTTGGGCAATCATTAAAATAAAACTCTACAAATAAAAGAAGTTTCTACACGGAGAGAATTTTCTTTTAAAATTTATCGTGTGGAATTGAGTAATATTTCGCGGGAGGACTCACCTCTCCAAAGACCTCTCACGCCTTCCCCACTGGCGATACTCTTGTACGCCTGCAGAGTAGAGGTGTACCTCACCGATGATCGCCCGTTATTTCCAGCCTGCATGCGGATCTTGACGACGTCGGTCGGCTGAGCGATCATCACGGCCAAAGCGCCCGTCGTCAGCCCCGCGGCAACGCGTACGCCAACGTTCACAGACGTACCGCTCTTATAGTTACCTGTTGAAACAAAAGCGCACCATGAAGAGCCTCGACTGTCGTAAAGAACCCGACGAATTTTAATATTAATAAGCGAGATGGACGCGAATTGCGCGTCGGTCACTTTTCATCGCCTTACTTAATATTCAATTACGATTATTAATGAGGTGCCTTTCGTATTCGCAAGCTTCTCAGAGAGTTTCATGTTAATTACGAACAATAAATTGTTATTGAGAACGGATCACCGCCAGCAATTCCGAAAGTAAGAATCGTCTCATCGATCAAGTCAAGATGATCAAAGTGTAAATCAAATCGAAACAGAAAAGCTATATAATCTCGGGATTTCAAAGTTTGCGTATAAATTCATTCTTCTTTTCTGATGGTATTATCGATGCCCCGATAGAATTTTGTAAACTTATTTGCGCACACGTTTCCGAGAACTTTCAAAAGTAATTGTAAAATTCGCCATGTGACGAAAAGCCACCGAAAAAAGTAGCAGTTGAATCGCAAAACTATAAATGTGAACAAAGTTTGGAAACTGCAGTCTCAACAATTCGTCAAAGATGGATCAGTTAGTTCGTTACATCTAAAGAAATGCATTTGCAACGAAAAGGTTTGCGAAAAGTAACAGTTTAAATGCCATTTTGACGAAACTTCTCTGCAAATGTAAGTGAAGTGAAATGCATAAATATGTAACAGTCTTACGATTGTCCAAAGCAACGAGTTGAATTGCAAGAGCTGTTCGAGTCCTCCTCTTTGCCGTGTATTCAATCTTTTATCTCTCCCACTTTCATTTTTTGATCGTTAACTTATCTTTCTTTCAATCTCCTTTCCCTCCTCTCGCAGTCTCGACAAGAACGAGAAAGAATGCACGTTTCAAGCGTCCAAGCCAATCCCAGACGATTCGATCCGCGATTTCGCCGTGATAAAGCAAGTGACTGATATGATAGTCCACCATGAATATGTGTGTCTATGTAGTGTTAGACATTCACTGTTAACTCAGTGCTCTTTTTAATAGTCGAGTTTTCCGATGTTATAAATTTATTTCGATAATTAGCAAAAATTTAATTATCGGGAAACAAATGTCAGGGATAGAAAAGTTACTTTTTAGCGAGTAAAAAGATGTAACTCGTTACATATTGTCTAACACTAGTATGCATGTGTGTGTTACCAATACGATGAAACGTGCGTTTTATTATACATATATAAGACATACGGATGTATGTGTGTATTGTTCACATGTTTAATTGATGAAATTGTAACGCGCGCGCGGTTACTCTCATATATCAGAGGAGATGGTATTATCAAAAAGTTAGGAGTTTGTTAGATGTACCGTCGAAGATTCCAGCGTAGAGTGACTTCACGCTGTCGTAGAGGCCCAACCGTATGCTGGCGAAACACATCTGTCTCTGGAGTCCCGCGGATAGACCTCCGTACAGGCTCCTGTAACCACCCTCGCTCAAGCTCACCGCCCTCACAATTCATCCTCAAGCGCATCTCCGGGGCGTCTTTTTTTTACACACTTCTTTCTTTCTCTTTTCCTCTCTTTCTCTCTCTCTCTCTCTCTCTCTTTCCTTCTCTGTCTGTTTCTTTATCTCGTAATGTTTCTTTTTAATATTACTTGCCTCTTACGCAACTATTGCGCAACTTTTTCTTTTTCCTCTTCCCCTTTTCGTGCTATCCACGCAATTTCACCCCGTTCTTTTTTATATACAATAGATATTTTAGATATTGAATGCTTTAGTTAGCGAAAGTCAATGCTATTCGTTCATAAAGTGATTTACAGTTACGCAGACGCGCGACAGAAAAGAGAAGCGACCCGTGGGCCGAAAAATAACCAGGAGAGAGCGTGCATTATCGTCAGCTGCTCATGAATTTTAATGTTGTATCACGATTCAAAACTCAAACAAGGAAGAGGGCACCGGCAATTGGGAAAGTAAGTCATTGCTATATATATATATGTATGTATACAAGCAAAATAAATGAAATAAAACCAAAAAGAAACTAAGAAAGAAAGAAAGAAGAGAAACTAAGTACGTGAGAAATTAAGAGAAATATATCACAGAGGAAATAAGCGGGTTGTCCTTCGAAATTTTATAAGCACCATCAGAGAGTGATGGCTATCAGAAGATAAATAGGAAACAATTGTGTGACATTTTATACGGTATGCAAAAAAGTTTATACAAAGTATCACGTATCCGTTCATATCAATCGTATATCACGTGAATGTTTTTTCTTTGTAGAAAGTGATAGGGACGGATCTATAAACATTTTGCACGAGAGAAACGAAACGGAATAATTGGCCAATTGTACGAATAAAGTTAATATAAAAGGGACACGAAGGACGACCCGTAAATAAAAATAAGAATAATTTGTAAAAATAATAAACTGATAAGAGGACTCGATGGAAATGCCACCGACAAGGCTCGTTACGCCTGTTTCACTCTGTACATTTCGACCTTCGTTGGATATAATGCGTAATGCTTTCTTGGAAGTTAGCTGCATTCTTCTAGCTATTTTGCTTGCGCATAAATTGCTCTACATGGGCGAGCGCTTGTCCGTGGCATTCGATCGAAGGGCGAAATAAAAATCATATTTAGTCGGACATCAATTGCAAGATTCTAGAAAAGTTTCTCAGAACGAGCAGTTATTGTACGCACATGTGCCAGATATCGAGCGAAATCTCGATTGAAATACGATAAGTCGCGAAAACACACAGTTAAATAAGTTAAGTTAATCGATATACGTCATAATGCTTGAACAAGGCCATTCTATGTGACATGGTAAACATCTGCGGTAAACATCCATTGTAATCTGTACAATCAGACAGTACAAGGAGTACAAAAAGACATTTAAATAAGTATCGTTTTAGATTTTAATCAAGTATGTAATTTGTGATTACTTTAGATATTACAATTTTGAAGTTGTACATTTAATAGATTGCATTTTCAATCATTTAATTGCAGCGTTTTCAATTTTAAGCGCCCGGTAAAAAATCTTTCATGCATGAGCATGTATAAATATATAGTATTATATAAAATTATACATCAAATATGTCCATACATATTTTTACATTATTACAGAAATATATAATGTAAAAATATGTATGTACATATTTGATATATGTATATATATTTATATAATTCCATAAATTCGTGTTTATCCATGAGAGATTTTTTTACCGGGCGTATAATTTGATTAATAAACGTCAAAAAATTAGCTCGATCTGGCACACGTTAGAATCAGAAAACTGGTTAATAATATTATTACGAAAAATATATTGTCATTTCAAAGAGATCGATAGTCGAGCGTGAGATAATTATTGTATCAACGTGCGACTGTTTTATAAATATTTCGTTATAAGCTTCGAATTGAATCGTCGCTCTTGGGCAAGAGGAAGATCTACATTTACAGATTCCGTATATATTGCAATATTATGTATAACTAGTAACGCAAACAAAAAGTTGTTCTACCTACTATTGCTTTTTATATTACGATTAGAATAATGGACAATGTACCTTGCGCCTTCATATCTGACGATGTTTGCGATGGTCTGGAACAGTCCTGGATGGTTCGTTCTTACTGCAAGGACCGAGCCTTCCGCCGATGCCAACAACATGGCTTGGCCTTCCCCCGCGATCTTGAAAAGTTACATTTCGATCGTGAGAGACAATTCAATTTCCAGAACAGCGAGCGAGAAAATGCCACCCCTAGTAGCAAAATATATTGGCGCAATATTGGGAGATAATGTAAATCTAGTGTTTCCAATATTTTAAGATGGACGCCTTCTCTTATTTAGTCAATATGTCTATTCAACAATATTGGTCTAATATTCTCATTACGAACATAAGATAAACATGTAAGAATGACCTATGGAATATTCCAAATGTTCTTGAAGAATATTCTCAAAATGCTCATAGGAGTGTCTTGTGTTATCTGGGATGCTACTAGGGGCGAGATAACCGCGCGAATATTTCGTACGATTTGAGTCACAATTGTTCCCAAGTAGCCAACTGACGTAACTTGTCGTCATTTTGAGGTCAAAATGACATTTCCGACGACATCTCGACGTCAGCTGGCTACCTGGGTTATTACTTTGCTCACCTGCATTCTGACTTTGGCGGTGTCCAACGGAAAAGTGGCCAGATCGGCGATGCAGGCCGCGGTGCCCGCGGTAAGTAGCTTCACGCCAAGTGAAGAATCGTCCGACGTACCCTGCTTCATGATTTTCACTCTTCTTTTCTTCCTCCAAGATCACTCTTCTCTTCGTTGACGCGCGTTGTTGAAGGGTACAGGTACTTGGTGCAGGATTGGACAAATTTGAACAAACTTCCGGTAAAATTTTTCCCACGTGGTAGCAGAGATCCCTCGAGCCCGCTCGTTTCCTTCCAGCCGGATCTCTTTCCTTATTAAACAAGCGATCCTATGTACACTATATACAGAGTCCTACCAGAGGACGGGAACCTTCAGGTGCTCATGAATCCAGCTGAAGGTTTTAAAGGTGCGGTTCCCTGAAGTGATCGGGATACGCGTGGAGCCCTCCCGCACGCGGGCACTCGTGTTTGATTTCCTGATGGTGGACTTCTTTATACATACTATTCTCCTGTGAACAAACGATGCGGAAGAACGCAGTACAGTATTCTGACGGAACAATCGGTACGCGAACGACTGTCACCGCGAAGCTGATAGCCGCTACTTTTATCCTACGAGAGCGCGTACGCTTGCGCTTATCAGCCGCTTCGTTTTGTGAAATTGGCTATAGTATGGCAATGTGCGATTTCAATTTGACAAAAAATGAAACGGCTGATAAGCGCAAGTGTACGCTGCGACGTAATTGCGTGAGTCGCGATCGATTGCGCATTTATCGAAGATCAATGACCATTGGACGAGGTGGTGCCATTCCCGCGACCATTGATCGGCGTCGAAAATCCACTCTCGCGTGATTTTTATTATCGTATTATCATCACGGACCACGCACACGCGATAAGATTCTGTAACATTTGGATGGAGCCTGCCGGGCACATCGTAACGACGTACCGTAACGCTAATCGCGATTAAAAATTAACGGGCGACAGATCCGTCTGACGTTATCATGGCACGCGCCACGCCAGTTACATCGTCGGCGGGTTTCCCACGATCGTGCAGAAGCCGCGTAATGCTGCGTCGGGCGTATCCTCGTATCTGCCACCGAAAGAGTCTTGGCCACGGTATGGCCGGCTACCGAAATAGAACGCCGTGAATGAGGCGAGAACCACACTTGGACACTTGCCAATGCCGAGGAGAGAGAGGCTCGGAGAACGTCTTAATTCGCAATTGTGCATACGCAGAAAAAAAAAGAATATTCTTCTTTTCGAAAGCTTCAACGTGAAAATCTTGAAATGAGATTATATCGCGTTTCAAAGTTGTCAAGAAAAATATATGCTTGTTATTTAAGAATAATTTGCTTGAATGGAAAGGAAACATTGGATAGAAAGTAACATATTTTCAAATCGAAAATTATAGGGATTAATTGATTTTATTATGTAGTTTTTTAAAAACGACCTACACTGGCCAATTTTTATTTAAAAAAACGACGTTTCGGTCCCAGATTTGGACCCTTTTCAAGTAATCTGTTCACACAATTGTTAATGATCTCATATCGTTCGTTTGGCCAATATGTTAGTAAGATATTAGTAAAAAAATTGATTCAATCATTTTTCAATATCTTACTAACATAACGATATTGGCCAAACGAACGATACGAGATCGTTAACAATTGTGTGAACAGATTACTTGAAAAGGGTGCGAAGCTGGGACCGAAACGTCGTTCTTTTAAATAAAAACATTGGCCAGTGTACGTAGTTTTTATCATTGGTTGTAAACTACTGGCGATATTAAATCTATCTGTGAATAGATTTTATCGTCACAATAACTATATGTATTCTTTTTATCTGATGTATTTCAGCAATTAATACTGATGTTGTTTCAACGACTTCATTACAATTACACTAATCTCGTTGGTACAACATCATTTTTATTTCGTGTATTTTGCGAATTCACTGGGCTAACTGGATTGTGCCGCTTCGACGTCGTTTGTACTCGGATGCAACGTTATGAAACCGCAAACCTAATTGGACTCGCAACTCCAATAATCTCATGTCTGTGTCGTAGTATAAATTGATAAATATGAATGAGTAGACTAAATAAATGGCAGGGTGAAGAGTAGGGTTTCGAGTTCAAAGAACGCGACATAGCGCGATCGGCAGACTTTGTCCGATCGTTTTGTCTCGTAGAACGGCGTTTATTGAATATCAATTGCGATTGGTTGACCCGTTAGGGTCCCGAGCTTAAACGAGCGATTATGCGACGAAATCAATGCATCGCGAGTACGAGGTATTCACTGTATTCAGTCAATTGAGGAAACGGCCGCGTCGGCGAACTTCGAGCCTCCATATTTTTTTAAATGTAAACTCAGAGAGAGAAAGAGAAAGATAAGTGGCATCATTCGGCGCTCTATTTCTTTCTTCACCTACTTCGTAGATGAGCTATGTGGACCACCTGATTGACTCTTGAGACCATCATTTGCGCAGCAAACGAACTGAAAGTTCCAGTGCATAGTCCAACAATCGTCTCGCGCTCGCGCGTTTTGAAATTTACCAACACAAGCTGGCGTCGCGGTAGAAGGAACGTTGCCGAGCTCGTAAAGAACGCGGTGCAAAGTCCACGTTTGAATTATTTTCGTCATGTGACGAAGGCATCGCGTTGGTGTCGTGCCTCTGCGACGTCACGCGCGTTTGTCACTGCGAGTGCCATGGTGGCAGAGTTTTATCCGGACTGTCATCAAGACCCTAACGTCGCTGACTGTAATTTGCGAGGCACCTGACAAATTTACTGAAACCTGGCCCCACGTTTCATGGCCGTCCACTTCCGCCACGTACAACACAAATCGAATTAAATCAGATTAATTTTTTTTTAAAACTGCATACAATCAGAGTTGATCACTCGCTCGTTGCTGTCCTTTCGAAGAAATCAGGGTAGCCTTCGAGAAACGCGGAACTCTTGCGGTAGCCTTGCGCGAGAATACGCCGGTGCGCGAAAGGCTTGTATCGATTGTCGCGTTGACAGAAAAGCGCGGAACATTATATGTACGCGCGCGGAAAGAGTGGCGAGATATATTATCGGCATTGAGTTCTCCAGCACAGAATTTACTAAAATTGTCATTACGTGTAGAGGAAAGTCCCCTATTATGCGAGAGACTCCTAATACGAGATTCAGTGTTAGATCGTGTAATCGAGAAAATATACTTGTCATTGAATTTGGACGTTGGAAACCTGCCATCTCGTATTAGAATCCTATCGCAATAATAGAGAACTTTCCTCTATATAATTTTTGAGAAAGATGTACGACCAAAAAGTTGAAGAATATAAAATTATATATATATATGTGACTTTTTTTCTTCAATCTTTGGTCGTACATCTTTTCCCCTTATCTTCTCGAAACCGTATCGGTTGACATTGGCCGACCTTCCGAGTCCTCTTTTATCGATTAACGTGCCTGTAAAAGGTCTTTTCGGCCAATGAGAATCCTTCAAAACCAATTTTAGTGGCATTTTTATCGATAAAAGAAGAATACACGGGCCATTACGTTCAATTCTTCTTTTTTACGGGACCATTGTTTGGCGCGAGAACCCGGGACGGCTCGTTTCCGTCTCGGTCGTAAAGAGTCAAGTTCAAGCTCATGCATTATTTTTCAGCGAATCCCCCGTCGGGAGCATCGGGATCGATGGATGACGATACGAGTCATGTGCGACGAAGTAAAACGAAAATTGTTAGGGTACCCGCTGCCGGCTCGTTTATACATCGCGGCGTGGGTGCATCGCGAAATGCGCGGATGCTGGCGTTTCTGCCTCGCCAACGAGTCGGCATCGCTCTCCTCGTCCGCTCCAATGCGACTCGCTAAATTGCTCGCAATGCCGCCGACTCGCGAACGTGTTTTTACTCGCGAACCCGATGCTGGGCTGACCCGTGGGAACTTCTCCCGTTGCGATTTGCAACTCGCGGCAACGTGGACCGCAGAGGCCGCGCCAGTCCGGCGATTCGATTTTAGCATGTCACGGATCGATAAGCGGACAATCAGCGCTAATTGTAATTAACCAAGTGTGTGCTATTTCGCGGCCGTTATTATTTCAGAAAGAAACCAAAGGATCGAGCCACGACGAGGATCAGTCGGCATTGGTAGAATTGCGATTACGTCTCGTGAAAGCTTCCTATAACTTTTTTAATTATGATCACAATTAAATGTAAAGAAAAATCGGTATTAACAATTTCCTTCCTACGATGCAGAGTCAGTAACGTTTATGAAATCGTCGATTCCGCCGTCTCGATTCCGCCGTCTCGATTCCTTACGTTTTTTTTTTATAAACAGCCGAAACTTCTGATAGACACTATAGACTTATACCCCTAGTAGCGCAGTGCATTGGCCAAATATTGGCCCAACGTAAGCCAATTTTGGCCATGAAATAAATGTAAGTATTGCACGATAATAATTATATAATGTTAGATTTATATTGGAAGTGCATTGGCCAATATTTAACAATGTAATAAGAATATTAGACCAATATTGCTGAATAGACACATTGGCTAAATAAGAAAGGGCGTCCATCTTACAATATTGGGACCAATAGATTTACATTATTTCCCGATATTGCGCCAATATACTGTGCTACTAGCGACAAATAGACTGCTTGTCCCGTGAAGCCCGTATCAGACTACGGATTGAAATTAAGACTAAATTGAAATTTGACTAATCAGCGTAAAAATCACTAAACTTAGGATTAGTAAACTTCACTCTGACTGGTCCAATTTCAACCTAATCTCAATCTCAATCCGTAGTCTGATACGGACTTGAGAAGAATCGAAGACTACATTAAAGCGAGAGAGAGAGAGAAAGCAATAGCCTCCGTGAGCGTGTCTTCGTCTAATATGCGTCGCTCACTGTTGTCTTCTCCCCAGTCTTAACAAAGAGCGGGAGAGAAGCATCTATCCTTCGGTAGCTGCGTTCGGCATTGCAAATCCGAGGCGTCGGAGTGCTCTTTTGCATTCGAGTGAACGAGAGAGGAGAATGAGATAGAGAAGGAGGAAGAGCACTCCGACGTGATCTCGGATTTGCAATGCCGAACGCAGCATATTGTAGTCTTCAGTATAGTGTAACTAGTAGGTCCACTCCGTCATTTGTTTTGCGTCGATTCCTTCTGCGCATCCGACATTGTTCTGGGCAGACCAATGAGGGAAAAGTCGACCGTGCGGTAATGTGGCTCTGATGAATACGTATACGCGCACGTCGCTGGAATACCACGTGATCGGGACCGCAAAGATTAAACCCAGTCAGAAATGACTGGAAAACCGACGTCGAAACGATATCGAATCGATGCATTTTTGGTTCCATTTTCGAGCCAAGTCGATTCGATATCGTTTCGACGGTTTTCCAGTCATTTCTGACTGGGAAGGGGCCGAAGAGAGTGGATCTACTGGTTACACTATGGTCTTCAGCGCGCCCATAAAGAAGTCTATCTGTATAAGTGTACAATAGACACCTAGTGATACGACCAAAGTAGTTATTCTCGCGGAAAATCAGCTGCAACAAATCTGCATTACAAATCGATTTGTATTACCTGCAATCGGCTGCCATGTCTCGCGGATTCGAGGAAGATAATCGCGAAATATCAATTACAATGCAGCTATCAGCGAACATTGATTTTCCATCGAATGATTGAATCCGGTGATAAAATAAAGGTAGGATATGCGTCAAACATTTGACCGCACACATGTACGTATACGGTGCATCGTCGACGCGATAATCACGTTACTTCAACATCTGGCTTTGCACACGCGTATTATAATCGGCTTTAAAAACATAAAACACGACGGATTTGTCGGGATACGTCTGACGATAACGAGAGGACCGTTTCCACGGCTAGTACATTTAATAATCTCGATAACTGGTGGTATACCGTTAAAAAATCAAGGAGGAAGGATTCGTCCGTATTTGATGGGGACAATAAAATGTGAGCGGAAATATGCGAAATAAATGGGAATGAAAATAGCCGGCCGTTCGGCGCTAGCGGATTAACAAATTGCAAAATAGCAGGAATAATAAGAGAATAAAAATCGCGGGCCACTTACCAAGTGTACAGTGAGTGGGTAACAACACAACTGAAAGGAGTTGCGTGTAAGCACCGCTTATACCGGCTCGCCGTCCAATGGAGGAAGATCAAAGTCGATGCCGCCCAATGGATAGTCGTTCATGGCGTCATTTCCCACCAAGGAACGCTGAGCTTGCGGAAATCGATAATTTCTAGAAGCGCGATGGCGATCAGCCGGGTGGCGCAAACGCGCGCCTCGCGGGGGCGAGTCCGCATCCCCTTTGCGAGGCCGTCGAGGGGGTTGCGTCGCAGCTGGTGTGACCTTTGGTAGCAGATCGGCAGACTTTCTGTAAAAGAAAACATATAGAAAAATGAGAACGAAAAATACATTGAATAAGATCAATTTTTTCGCTTACCCCTGAACGTTATAAAAGCTGATAAAACCCGATTAAACATAAGCGGATTAAGCGAAACGTATTCGTCCCGCGTATCTCGCTTTCAACTCGGGCGACAATTAAATACATTTGATGACATTTCGTGACGTCAGCTATTTGCATTTCAAAGATTTTAAACAATAACGACACGGTCGCGGTATAATCTATGCTCGCAACGTTGCGCAACACGAATTCTTATGTAATAACATTATATAGTTTTTAACAGATAATGCAGAACAAAATTGTCTGCAATAATATTTTTGCGCTTGTCGCCGGCTTTTAAGATTTTTCCTTTTTATCGTTACATTTTCTTGTTTCTTTACGAGGTGTACACTTTTCGCTTTATTTGTTGTGCAAACCGCAAAGAACACTATTTAAGGCGAATCATTATATTTAAAATATATATCTCATAACTGACAATTATACCGTCACCGTACACAAATAATTATCGAATAATTAAGTTGAGAAATATATACGTTAGATATACACAATGGACTTTTTTATGACTGCAACAGCAAGTATGCGTATAAAATATTTTCATTCAAGAACTGCTTATCCAATCCGGTAGATTGGATCAGTAATACGTAACACCGCCGGTCTTGTACTTTGACTTTTCAATATCTCGCAGGATTTATTAACATTATGTCATCTATCAGTCATTTCAAAAACTTTTGTACGAGCGAACTTGTGTCGAGCGAATATAAAAATATTGCAGTAGATAGTCTTTCATTTTATTACCAAAAACGTAATAAGTAATGCACGATGTCAAGGTAGAATATATTATTCATGACGACGATTCGTGACTTTATTCATTACATAAAGGTTACATTAATGTCATTTCGACGTTACTTTGTTGCGATGAAGACTCTTTGGCTGGTATTCATAGTCAAATCTTATATATTCAAGACCGTCTTAAGATTATCCTTAGATGCTCCATAGCCAATGAAATATTCCATACAGCATCTGTAGATAAATCCAAGATGGTCTTGAATATAAGATCTGACTATGAATACCAGCCTTTGTTCTGGAAAATGTAATTTTTGATCTTAGAAAAATTGAGTTTAAAAAATGAGAAACATATTAAGCATTTATTTTTCTTTGCAAATCATCTCGCAACGATCAAACGTCTTCGCATTTATGAAAAACAGATATTTTGTTACGTTTAAAAGTTCTTAGATTAATGTTTCCTCTGCTCAACAAGTCGTATAGTGCGTAATTATGTCAGAATTAAAGTGTCAAATACCTATTACCATAGGGCAACAGGTTGCGTAATAACAAGAACTACTCGCGGCACCGCTAAGGAAAATGCTCCAAAGAACGTAGAGGATCCAAAAATAATTTTTCTGAATTTCCGAATTGTGAAATAAATTTTTTCATCTTATTTCTGAAACATTTTTAAGAGTTAAAAAATTTGCTTTAATCTCATCAATGCTGAGCTCTTTTCGGATACAAATTAAGAAAATCTTTGTATTCAGAATAACTTTAATTTACTTTCAGAAGTCAACGGGTGTATTTCTATGGAATCCTTTTTAAACTAGGAATTCCGGAAAGAAATTCTTTGAGATCAAACGATAAAATTCATCAGGCTTTGACGTGTAATCACAATTCGAAGGAATAAAGGATATAAGAGCCAGGACAGGATGTTAGTGTCTAAATGATTATAATTTTTAAATTTATAGCGAAACATTTATCTCAGCCAGGGTAAATTTTTCGCTATAAATTAAAAAATTAAAATCATTTAGACACTAACGTCCTGTCTTGGCTCTTATATCCTTTATCTCTTCGAGATCATTTTGAATAGATAATTCGCTAATTTAGAAAAACTGAAAAAAGCGAATCCTTTATGAGTTCACAACGACCTGTGCTACTTGGAGCAATTTTCATGATAATTTTCCCAGTGACAGGAAACAAGTGAGGTAGATTGCAAGGATCATAATTCACACGTGAATCTGTCTATGAATCGCGCAAACTTCCTTCATTGCCGAGCGATGCGGATTAGCTAATGGCGATAATTATCGCCACGCGGCCCTCGCCATGTGTCTGGCCATCGCGATGTACGTCGCTACCGGAGCACTCGGTATAATCCAGCAAGCCTTGTCGGCGATCGGCGTGTTCCTGTTAACTTTACTGGGCAGAGCGATCTTGCTGGTCGACTACACAGTAACAGGAGGTCGCACCTCGAGGGAACGCCGAATTATCACAGAGGACCGGGAAACGTACACGGATTCTGAGGAAGACTATGGTACCAGCAGTGAAAGATTCCCGAGGCCAAGGCAAACGATAGAACCTGCTAACGCACAAGCGATTCCTTCGACTCATGAGACCTCTATTTCCATCTGACACTCGTCAATTGGTATTTCTTTAAGCGATACTACGTTGCGCGCAAAGTAAATTTTTTGCTCGTCATCATTCCAGTATGTCACTTCTGTCCCGAACTTTTTACAGATATTGATTATGCGAGGTACTACGCAACATTAGTGCTGAGAATATTGTTCCTTCTTTTATCAAATACTTGGCGAGAAACATGTGTATCTAGTGCAAAAGTGTAACTACTACCAGTTATACAAATAAATTGCTGCAGAAATAATTCTAAAGTGATAACGCAACATTGCCGAAATATTGTTAATGACTATAAGCAGTACAATTTCCGCAAAATGTTCCTTTATCTGACACTTGACAAATTGTGTTAAGCGAGTTGATAATTTTTTTTGGAGATCACAGAATCTGATTCGTTCAGTTTCGCAAGATTTCAACTGCTGACTCTAGATTAATTTATCAATGTCACAATATACTGCACATTGATGTAGTTGCTCTTTAAATGCCACTTTAGATAAAAATAACTTCAACTTATCTTTAGAAGAAAAAATATAAATTTCAGATTTTGTTGGACACGTCAATTAAGGATAAAGATCTTATTCCAACTTCTTCGGATCACCTGGAAATCAGTTACAAATTAGTTGCATAATAATTATATTTTTAAAATGTGCAATATAATATTAATTTCAATAACAAACATTTTGATAATAGATTGTAGGAAAGCTTATATAAGATAGTATAAGTAAGATACAATAGTATCTTGTAAGAAAGCTCTACTATATGATAATACAAATGGACGGAATACACGTCAGAGAAATACTTGCTATACATATCCCAGCGAGAAATAAATCGTCATCGAACTGACACCGTCAAATTGACGTCGATTCGACATAATTTCGATCGACAAGTAATTTCTCGCTGGGATGCTTACATCTAATGCATTTTATATGTGGACGGAACTATATCGCAATAAGTTCACAAACTAGCAAATGCTGTAGTAACTAGAATATATATAAAAGTCACATTGTTATATGTCATAACGATTAGTCTGTTCATTGTAAAGTTGTTAAAAGGCAGCCTAGTGCTTGCACAAATTCTTTGTGCGTATGTAATCGTATATACAGGCAGTGAACTTGTTTAACTTGAAGAATTAGTTTGATCATTTTGTTTTGATATATATTAAACGAGATAAAAGTATATATATATATATATATATCAAACATTTAGTTAACAAAAAAGGTATTTGTAAAATTTAATAATAATGTTATACGAAAGAAATATTGCACAAGTGTTTACGTCAGAATAAATCTGCATTAAGATATGATGTTCTGCAGGAAGTGTCGTTTCTTTAAAGAAGACAATAGCAATATTTTTCTTCTTTGTAAAATATTATCTCAGAAAAGATATACAAATACCTTTTTCATCTACTGTATATAAAAAACTATGTATCATGTATATGTATATTATTTAATTAACAGGCATAGTTGATACTGCACTATGCGGCGTTGTAGGTCGAGAACCAGCAATGGAATGTGTCGTCGATGCATTTAAAGACTGCATTGTACCAATCTGAAAAATGGTTTAAAGTTTGGTAATTTATAGCTATAATGTTTTACATATACGACTATGGTATAGTCAACATTATATCGTACCCGCAGATGAGCCAGATCTTCCAATCTTGTTAGATCGCTCAGCTCGAGATACAGAGAATATACAATAAGCCAGCCATATGCAGAAACGCAGATAAATATTATCCATAGAAGACACATCATGATATTGTAGGCAAATATCATGTCGTTTACAATGCTGAAGAATATAAAAGCAAATAGTCGGAAGAGAGTGAAAATAGCAAAACTGTACAGCCACGGCAACGTCTTCTTCTCATATTCTTTCCGTAGAGCTGTGATTAACATTAAAGAAGTCACAAATACGACTATTCCACCCAACATGGAGAACAATGCAAACACAATCAGGGCATTTCGAACTGAAATCAATTAGATACAGATAACATAATGGTTCTACGACTAAATCTTTTAAGTTTGTTATTTACTAATTGGTCTTGGTTTAAATTGCAATAATAAACTTACCATGTTGACTGCCCACATAAACAAATTCATACGATATGATGTAATATCCATAGTGTGTGGAACCAGGCGCAGCTTGCGAGAGGCAGTAGATGTCGAAAATAGCTGTGCATATCGTGAAGAAGGCTAGGCACTGTAACAATAGTTATTCAACATTATTTCAACCGTAAGAAAGCGCGCCCAGAGATCACTCGTCAAACGCGTACCAGTGAGAATATAGCGGCGAACATGGCACCCCTCTGAATGTCAAGTACAAAAGCGTGCGTCACTATCGGCTTATGGTACCAAGGAATCTTTACGCTGCGAGCGGACCTCGACGATCTGAGATTTGCGCTACTGCGAGTGGTGGTCACGTGGGAATACACAGACGGCGTTCCCATGCTGGGAGACTTCTTTCCATGATGCATCTTGATATCCACCTGCCAATAACGTGTCTAATCAAGTATCGGGTGAAATTAAGTGCTCGATAATGGTGCTTTCATACTTACGTTTTGCAGAGACGTTAACCAGGTAAACAGTTGCAGAAATTTCCCTCGCGATATGCGATTAACGATACGTGCCCGCGTTTATCCCTTCTGGAATGGAGACATGACATGAACGAAATAGCGAGTGGCCACTGGTTTTATAGCTTGCCAAAGATGCTCCAGCTGCTTTCTGCATAAATTTGTCGCGTTTCAACAACTCAATTGCATTAGCAAATGAAAACAAAATGCACGCTGACATAATAACGATACAGATTCAATAACAAAAGTATATTATGACTCATACTGCAATTTTTTGTCAGGTTTGCGATTTTTCGGCTACGACATTAGAACAATTAGTTAATTACGCGCACGTATTAAGATGAATGAACTTACTTATCGCGCTCGCATACTTGAGAGTGTACGCAAACGTTTCGTAGTAATTTTTCGTGTAATGGACACGCCTTGTCAAATATTCGAAACGCTGCTCGTTGCTTGTATGCAATTACGATCCACGGGCATGGGCTAAAATGTCAGGTAGAGTGGAAGGTATCGAATAAACGTAAAGGATTGTGGGCACAGCACAGTATAACCACAGTATAA